AAGCAGGCAGACAGTTCCCTATTGACTGTGCATCTGACCATATTCACATGCATTGTTTATTCCAGCAAACATATGGAGTACATTGTGCTAATGAAATATACTCTTAATATTGTGACAAAGTTCCTCCTCTACCTTGGTGGGTCTTGCGCTTATTGGCAGATTTGCTCGCCTCTGAGATTCATGGCAGCCCTCAGTTTGGCTGTTTTCATGAACCCACAGTCCAGGTCAACTCCTCTGGTATCAAGCAGGGAGTTGCGGGGGGATGGAGGGAACCCGGGCCCGCCCTCTACTCCGGGTTCCAGCCCAGGGCCCTGTGGATTGCAGTGGCTCCTGTAACAGCTGCGTGACAACTACAACTCCCTGGGCTACTTCCCCATGGCCTCCTCCCAACACTTTCGTTATTCTCACCACGGGACCTTCCTCCTGATGTCTGATAATGCTTGTACTCCTCAGTCTTCCAGTAGTACGCCTGCTCACTCTCAGCTTCTTGCGCCTCTTGCTCCCAGCTCCTTGAACACACACCACAAACTGAAGTGAGCTCCTTTTTAAAACCCAGGTGCCCTGATTAGCCTGCCTGTCTTAATTGATTCTGGCAGCTTCTTGATTGGCTGCAGGTGTTCTAATCAGCCTAGCTGCCTTAATTGTTTCCAGAAAGTTCCTGATTGTTCTGGAACCTTCCCTGTTACCTTACCCAGGGGAAATGGACCTACTTAACCTGGGGCTAATATATCTGCCTTTTATAGGCTCCAGCGGCAGGGTCCCATAGGCGTAGAGCGGCAGGAGGCTGCCACCGGCATAGAGCGAGGCCGGCGGGGGCGGACCAGCCCATTATAATACTAAGGCAGCCGAGCTAGAACCAGGATCTGAAAGGATGGTGGGCGGGGAAGCAAGGTAACAAAGGTTCCACCCCTTCTCTCCCTCCCATCCCTGGGTGTTTTGAATGAAGGAAGCCAGCAGGGACAGTGTGCGTACATTTGCATAGCAGGTTCCTCCTGCCAGGTGTAAAGTTCAGAATGACTTGTAGGTGGCAGAGCAACACCAGCTACACATTTATTATTTTTACATAATACTGTGTTTGGTAACAAGTTGTAATATGACAGCTAAACACCCTATTAAAAAATAATACAGTGCTTCACTGGGAAGCTGTATAAACTTCGTTGTGAATTCCTCATGACTTATGTACCTTGATAGTCATTTAATCCTGACCCTTATCCTCCCAGTCCAGAATGAAAAGTGAATGGGTAGGCACTTCTACATGCTCTGATGGAAATACTTCAACAAAACTCTGATCTTGATTTTATACATCTAATGAACAGAGACACTGAACAAAACAATATAGCTGACTTCTTTCAGAACCTGTCTTTGTATCTGCCTCTGTATAACTCTATTAAATCGTTACTCTGTAAATAAAATCTTTTTGAACATTAAAAAAAATCACTCTCTTGTAGCCATCTGGCCTGACCCTGTCACAATATACTATTTTCAGACAGGAGTATCTGAAGAGCCGGTATGCAGGAATCAAACATTCCATTTTGGGACAAAACACATCCTGTTTTTCTCATCTGTCAGTACAGGCACCTTAGACATAGATATCTGACTTTCTGGAGGACTGCAATATCCCACAATAGCAACTGTCCTCTCCTAGGGCTACTGTACGCATGTGTGGTACTGAATTTACAAATGTACCCAAACACTTTTTTATTTTTTTACTTATATTTTGTAACCACCAGCAAAGATCATAAGCTATGGAAGCTCTGCCATTGACCCGCTTTGTGACCTTGCTTACTTCTGTCTCATCTTCTCCAGCTATAAAGTAATGATAATTATACTTGCTTTCCTTGGTAAAGTGCTTTGAGATCTATAGGTGAGGAGTGCTATATAAGAGGTAAGTACTATTAGTAATGTGAGTGGACAGACCTGGGAATGTTCCAAACTTCTCACAGTTCCAGAGGTCAATAAGCCTTCTTGTCTATCACTATAGTGACTGCCTAGTTTTTACTATTTTAGGCCATGATCTGGCAAACACTTATGCACATGCATAACTTGCTGTTTTGCAAGTGAAATATTGGTGGATACAAGACACTGAATGTCACCTGTTAAAAAAAATAGAAAAAACATTCAGAACTTCATTCAGTTAAAAAATTGTATCCCATTCTCTGGATGAACAGTTTCCATTACATGATTTCCATACTATCTGGAATGCAGATTCAATTTCTAATCAATTACATTTACAAAATGTATATGTATGTCCATAGCTATATAGGAAGAGAATAGTGAAGACTTTATACATGAAAATGTTCGGATCAGATTATATTTGGACAACAAAGATATTTTCCGAGACAATGTAAAATATTAAACAGATGCTTTAGACACATAAATGACCAGATAGAGAAGATATTCAGGCATGGATAATGGCTAGAGCTGTGTAAAATGTTTGCAACAAAATCTGAAACCACCTAAATCTGACCTAGTTTGCATTTGATTACAAACCTGAAATGCAGAACAGGTTTGCTGAAGGATCTGTTAAGATCCACAAATCTTTTCAGAAACCTACCCCCATCTTGAGTTGACCTAGGCTACTGTATAGATTTCCATCAAAATTATGGAAATTTCACATTTTTGCATGGTTTATGGTTTGGAGGCAAAACCAAGTTAAACACAAGGATTTTCAATGACTTTTGTATTGAGATTTTTACTTTAATTACTTCTCAAACTTAAAGCAAAACTCAAATAATTGCAAATCCATATTTTCATCATTTTTAGTAAAGCAAAACTGCCTGAGTATGCATAATTCTAAAGCTATATCAAGGCTAAATTCTAGTTATAGATGTGCACCTAGTGGATACCAAAAAAAACCCCAACAAACCAAAACAAACAAACAAACAAACGAGCAGTAGCAGGAATACATGGCAGAAAATAGGTGCCGAGATTCTGGTTCTTCATGGAAGTTACTGGGAGAGCACATCACAGATCCTCTGCATCTGACTTCAAATAGGGACGTAATGGGATGACCATAGCCTGGTTAAGTGCATGTGATCATACACATGCAGCTGCTTGGACTGGGAAATGATCTCAACTCTCTATGAAGAGCCCCCAAATTATTCCTACTTATAGCAAGTAACCCAGACAAGACAAAACAGGGCAGCATTGCTTTCTTCACTTCATTTCTAGAGGTTCGGCTAGTCAGCAGGAAAGGGGAACTAGGATATGACCATTGTGGGAGGAAGCCAGAAACAGAACCATTTGTCTGCTCTAGGCCACACAAAGGTTTCACACACTGGCTAACTTCCGTTTGATAGAGTACTCCAAGGCTGTTTGCACTCACATACATACCTAAGGCCTCCTCAGCTTATTTTTCCTGATTGGGCCCCAATATAACTTGTCAATGAAAGTTGTGTGACCTATTTCCATAATTAAAAAGTTATTGCAAAAGATGGTCAGGTTTCTTTCCTACCTAAAGGTTTATTAACCCTCCCTAGTAATTTTCATGTACTGCTAATTCAAATATAGAGTGTTATATGAATTCTAAGGATAGATATTTTTAAAAACAAAAAAGGTCTGTATGAAAAGCAACAAAACTATCAAACATCACACACTGGAAATGATTTTAGAGTACTATGTAATTCTGAATTTAGGTGTTTCTCATTAACAGTGCATGGATTAGTCGTACTCTTGTTCCAAAGCATTTGTCATTAACAATATCCCACCTACAGCAACCTCTGTTAGTCAATAATAACAGCTTATTTAAAAATAGCAGCATCAATTTGTTTGTACTGTTATTATCTGTGCATGGCTTATTTCCCCAGAAGACAGGAGTGTGCATACCCTGCTTTCTCCTGGATTCTCTCTTGGAACCTATTTTAAGATCCTGAGAGGAGACAGACATATCTTTAGCATATACTAATAATATAATTTCAAGGCTGTTACAGTCTTCAACAGTAAAGTATAGCAGTCAGAAGCAGCTGTATATTCATTAGTCAATAAAGTATTACCACACATTAGTAACTGTAAAGCTATTTTTCCTTGATGAAGACCTTAGATTCAGGCCAAATTCCAACCCGGCCTTCCAGTATCATTTCATCTCCTCTCTTCTCAAGCTCAGTTATTCAATTTCATTGTAATGTAGCTTTAAAAAGCAAATGATGATGTTAATGGAAGATTTTATAAGGATGAACCTGTCCTACATACCACTAACCACTTCCTTATTCTATACTCTGACAACTAGTGCTTTCAGGTAGATGGATCTTGCTGGGAATACAGTTAGTACTGCAACAGGCATTGCTAAATAGCATAAAAGCCAATGTGCTATGCCCACCTCATGTATCTCTAATCTGTAGATCAACATAAATAATCATCATGATACTGTACTGCACTGGAAAACGCTTAATGCTAACTGAATATAACACTAGTAAATACTTTTTCTATTTCTTCATGAATTAAGGTTAAACCATCTGTTTTGTGACAGAAATCTAGAATTAAAGCACAAGAAACAATTAATGTTATAATTATGCATTACTGAATTTATATTCAGAAGCATTGGCAAATTATTGTCAGAATATTTGCATACAAGTCGAACAATTAAGTTGTCAGCTGATTCTATTTTTTTTAAAGTGGCTAATTTTTTTAAATCTGTTTTGTGATCAGATCTAGTCAGAACTTTCAACACTGTTTCATTACTTAATTTAAAACAGCATCAGTGGGAGATACATTAGCTAAAGGAAGTACAGAAATACACTGATATTTTTTAGCATATTTCTCTTACTCTCAAAGTACCTGACAGGTCTGGAAAGTGAATTAATAGTATAAATGGTAAAAGAATGGTAGACTTACTGTCAACTGAGAGCTGCAGCAAAAGCTTGGTTGAGTAACACTAGAGGAAGTATTTTGATCACAATGATGGTGCTATATCTTTTGCTAGCACAGCATACGAATATTTTTTGGGTTATCAAACATATCACTAAAAAGTTTATTAAAAAAAATAAGAACGCTTCCAGCCTAAAAAAGTTAAATACTTGGATTTTTATTAATACAGGTTGAAATTCCCAGAGTTAATAAAAAATTAATAGTCTAGATCATTTCATAAGAAGAACCCTCTGAAAATTGTATCCCAGTTTCCTGCAGATGCTGAGTGTCAAACTGAGATATGTCACACAGGAGAATTCAAGCCCATTTCTTGTCTTGTTTTACTTTTGCGCTTGCCTGGGCATTAGCTGCCTTGATGGCTGTAAGAAAAAAACATAATAATTTAATTTGTGGAATCCATTGGCAAACACTTCCTTTTATCTTAAATTAAACAACTGGATCTTTGAAAATGCCATCTTTAGATTTTTTTTTTTAATTGACCCATTATTTTGCTTGCTTTCACTGCCAGAACCCCCTACTGCAAACAGGGATAAGCATGCTACCTGGACTTCTTTTGATGAATAGTTTTAATTAAAATATTCTGTACCATAAGTGTTTTAATGTTACAGACAAACCAAAGGTATGCAGTTATAAATTAAATTACACATTTAAATTAATCTATAAATATGCTATAAAATTGACAAGATACATTTAAGATTGGGAATATGACATGGATTGCTAATTATCACAATTAAATATCAAGAGTAAAAATAAATGACAATCAATAACCTAAAACCATTTTGAAAAAAAAGAGATGGAAATATAATACCATTTAAATGTCTATAAAAGCAAAAAATTATTAGCAAGTTGGAGTCCTGATTTTTCTATTGTAATAAAATGATAAGAAGTAGCACATTACACATTTCATCACTGCTAGACATAAATACTGTACATATACTGCACCAGTACAATTTACTACAGGATTCTTCTATTTAGGTTTATTATATTCAGAATAACATGTTTAATTTTTACTAACAACATTCCCAGCTTTTTGTTCACTAAAGGCCTGAACCAAAAACTATAGACGTCAATGGAAGCCTTTCCTTTGAATTCAATGAGCTTTGGATCAGTCACTAAATTCAAAAACAAATGAAAAAGGATAGTTATATTCCTACTTAAGTACTTACATTCAAAGGCTCTCCATTGTGAGTCCTTACTCAGGCTAAACTCCCATTGTTTCAGGGCATTTTTCCTAGCAAGGATCATGGGACAAGGCATCAGCACGTATTGCACAGTGTGCTTTCCTGAAATTCTTTTAATAATTACTCCTTCACATCTTAGGAACACTACATGCCAGCCTAAAAGACACTGCACTGTTTAGTCTACAGTGTACTGTTAGCCAGTGGTAAATCAGTAAACTGGGTGAAAACCCATTAAAATATTTTCAAAATTGTTTGTTTTAACAGCATTAACATCATTCTCTAGATATGGAATTTACAATGCTCCTTTTACACTACAAGGAGCCTATTTATTATCAAGAGGGTAAAGGCAGAAAACTGATGATAGCTGCACTTTCTTCATTCTCAGAATGGGAATTTGGGCTGACATTCATTACTGTATTCATGTTAAAAGCCAACTCTGTCTTTCAATCAGATATTTCCTTCTAATTAAGGCATATTCACTTTTTTGCTAATTAGGTATTCTTTGTTGCACAATGTTTGCTCTAATCTTTCGGAATTTCTCTCAATATCCAGTATTGCCTTCATTACTGGCTCCCCTAGAATCCAACCAAAGCATGCTTTTTTTTCCTGCTAATTATATCCTCATTTACAGATTGTTGCCTTCTTTGATTGGCTCTTTACACCAGTTGCTATGACTTCATTAGCAATGTCTTCTGACCCTGTTATTTCCTGTGACAGGATTTGCTCCACTTGTCCTGTGGCACTCTATCCCAGGGTCACTCCTCTCCCTGGTTGGAATATTGTCAAACACAAGAGGTTTTGGGCAGGAAAAATCACTGCTGAAGTTGCTAATTACTACATACAGCAATGGTACAAATTAATGCTTCTAGCAGTTTAAAAAAAATGAATGTTTTAGAGGTGTCATTAACAGGTTAGTGTCATTTATAAATGTGCTTGACACAAAAAAACAAAAAACAAATCCATGCCAAATGTGTAGTGTGGTTTTGCTTTCATAATCCCTCCATCAAAGAGGTATTTTCATCTCATGTGAGCTTGCTTATCATCCTATGTTGCTATAAAACTGCTGCATAAAGCTTTCCCAAACTAGATGTTCTTTAGAGGTAGATTTCTAAATAGATTTTCCTATTTTAATTTTAGAATCCCACGGTATATTATTACTGATGTGATTTTTAACATATCGTACAGAAGCAGTAGTCTGTTTTAAAATGGCAAGATTAAAATCTCTGGGCATCATTTTTAAAAATATTTTAACTGATTAGACAAGAATAGCATATTAAGAAATAATTAAAATGTATGAAACTGCAGTGAAGTACTGATACCATGTTTATAATAAGCATGAGAGTGATATGACATTATAATTTGCATGGGGGGCAAATTGCATATTTTGTTAATTGTGTTCCCCACTTTTAAACTCTTACAAATCTGAATAATCCATTACCAGAATCAGAGATTCATGAATAGAGCATATAGAGTTTAACACAAGTTAGTTAATATGAAAAACGCTGTATCTAGTTGTTTGCAAAATTACTTTTGTTGATTAAAAGGCTCTTCAGAACTTCCGGCTTGTGAAAGGGTTTTAAATTGTCTAATGCTGATTGTGATTGCTATGCAGAAAAAAGGCAATGCGAAGCAAACCATTATATCACTGAATCTTTGTTAAGCAGGCCTTGAAAGTGCTTGACAGCATAATTAATCTTGTGATATGAACAAAGAAACCAACTCAATAGTATTGAAGATGCTTATTAAAAATACTAAATACCTTTTTCCACTTAAAAACCTTTTGAAATAGTGTGGGAAGTGTCATTACCTTTTTTGTTTTTGTAGTATTTTAGTCTAAAACTGATACAAGGGATACATACCATGAGGAAAAGAATAAACTGCATGACAATAAAACATTGTGAGAAAAACAATGCTACCTGATTTGGAAAGTCAGCTAAGCAACCTTTGAACATTAAATTTAAATAATAATTGGTGGTCAGTCATGTTGCCTTTCCAAATTATATCTTAATAAAAACTATTTATATATAGTTCAATTGCTAGCACTAACCCTGATTGTGGTCTCTACCTTATATGGAGACCATATTGTGCAGATGCTGTAGCACATGAGATTATTCATCCAAGTATTCCCTAGTATGGCTGAATGTATTTTTGGTGCAGGCAATTCCCAAATGCTCTTGAAGAGCATGGAGGACGAGATGGACAGTCTGCTGTGATTCTGGCTGGAAAAGATTGAACCCTGCGGCTTTGACTGTAAACATATCTATTATATATAAAGAGAGAGAGAGGTTGGTATTTGCAAAGAAGTCCTCTATATTTCAATAGGAATTGAGTGCATAACTCCTTTAGACTCCTTTGAAAATCCTGGCCCTATAGATTTAGAAACTAATCTTTAGATAAGTACACATTTTGGATGCTAGGTTTCAGAGTAGCAGCCGTGTTAGTCTGTATTCACAAAAAGAAAAGGAGGACTTGTGGCACCTTAGAGACTAACCAATTTATTTGAGCATAAGCTTTCGTGAGCTACAGCTCACTTCATCAGATGCATTCAGTGGAAAATACAGTGGGGAGATTTATATACATAGAGAACATGAGACAATGGGTGTAACCATACACACTGTAACGAGAGTGATCACTTAAGGTGAGCTATTACCAGCAGGAGAGTGGGGGTGGGGGTGAGGGGAAACCTTTTGTAGTGATAATCAAGATGGGCCATTACCAGCAGTTGACAAGAACGTCTAAGGAACAGTCGAGGGTGTGTGTGTGTGTGGTGGAAATAAACATGGGGAAATAGATTTACTTTGATAGCTGTCAGTAGGTTTCCGGTATAGGGTGGTGTTTATGTGACCATCGCTCATTAGCACCGTAGTGTCTAGGAAGTGGATCTTTTGTGTGGACTGGTCCAGGCTGAGGTTGATGGTGGGATGGAAATTGTTGAAATCATGGTGGAATTCCTCAAGGGCTTCTTTTCCATGGGTCCAGATGATGAAGATGTCATCAATGTAGCGCAAGTAGAGTAGGGGCATTAGGGGACAAAAGCTGAGAAAGCATTGTTCTAAGTCAGCCATAAAAATGTTGGCATACTGTGGGGCCATGTGGGTACCCATAGCAGTGCCACTGATTTGAAGGTATACATTGTCCCCAAACGTGAAATAGAATCCTATTTTCGACATCTCCGACTCAAGGAATATTTCCAACACACCTCTGAACAACATATTAACCCACAGAGACCTTCCTACCAACACTACAAAAAGAAGGATTCTGGATGGACTCCTCCTGAAGGTCAAAACAACAGACTGGACTTCTACATAGAGTGCTTCCACTGACGTGCACGGGCTGAAATTGTGGAAAAGCAGCATCACTTGCCCCATAACTGCAGCCGTGCAGAACACAATGCCATCCACAGCTCAGAAACAACTCTGACATCATAATCAAAAAGGCTGACAAAGGAGGTGCTGTCGTCATCATGAATAGGTTGGAATATGAACAAGAGGCTGCTACGCAGCTCTCCAACACCACTTTCTACAAGCCATTACCCTCTGATCCCACTGAGGGTTACCAAAAGAAACTACACCATTTGCTCAAGAATCTCCCTGAAAAAGCACAAGAACGAATCCGCACAGACACACCCCTGGAACCCCGACCTGCGGTATTCTATCTGCTACCCAAGATCCATAAACCTGGAAATCCTGGACGCCCCATCATCTCAGGCATTGGCACCCTGACAGCAGGATTGTCTGGCTATGTAGACTCCCTCCTCAGGCCCTACACTACCAGCACTCCCAGCTATCTTCAAGACACCACTGACTTTTTGCTAACATTTTGCTGCTATGTTGTCTTCATGACCTTTGGCCCTCATGACAACTTCTGCTCTCCTCTTAATATCAACTCTTCTGTGTAGTTAGATGAAACACGACACCAGGGTGGCAGCAAGTGTATCATGAATTACTTAAAATGACTACTATGTATGTCATTTGCAAGTATGGGATTGCTTTTTAAGCCATTGTGCCATGGTCATGCCCCCTGTCATGCTCACTTTCCCCTTGCCCACTTGTAGCAGCCAGAAAAAGAAGTTTCCTTGTGCCATATTCCTTTGCATTATACAGAAGCCTCTTTGTGTAGATGAATGCTCAGCACTATCAATTAAGATTGTAAGATATTTGGGGCAGAGACTGTCCTTTAGTGTGTTTGTAACACTTACCATGATGGGCCCTGATCTTGATTAGGGCCTCTGGGTGCTGCTTTAATACAAATGTTTGTCCCATTTACCTCTTTAATCAGCAGCTTGTATCATCAAGCCCATACACAGGAATGTGTTGAATTTGCAGCATGCTCCTGGGAATTCTGGGTGATTTCCAATCTCAGACCCTAGAAAAATTAGGAAATCAAAATCTTGTTAATTAAAATATGCATAGGTTTTATACCTAGGGGCTTAATTTCTGCATGTTCATGTTCCCTTCAATTTTTAATTCTTCATGAATACCACATCAAGACACCTTGCAAGCACCTGTTTATCTTTGTAGTAACAATGAATCACCAATGCTTGGGCTGATTTTGCAAAACTTCTCATGACATAACAACAACTTTGCCTGACAACAGATTGTGGGAGCAGGCCCTTTTTGTCGGGAATGATTATTGCAGGTGGTAGCTAACTTTACCAGACTGCTTTATTGCTTCACAAGTTATGTTTTTAAACAATGGACCATATCTTGTCATCTTTCCACATATAGAACTCCTCATTAATTAAGCTCAGCGGAGAGTACTGCATAAAAATGAATGGCAGGATGTGGACCGATGTACTTACTAATCTCTCACAGCAATATATTGGAGAAGCTGAATCTAGAGTTTTGTATTAAGAACCCACCAAGGGAGTAAATTTGTCTTTCTTACTGATGCATTTCACCCCAACAGACATGTAACCATGCCTATGTAAACTGCTGTGTCCTGGCCATCTAAGTTTAGTTAATGGAGCAACCAAAAATTGCTGAACAGCAAAACCCTCTAGGTTTTGATGCTCAACACACTTTTGTACTTGTATTCTATTAGGTGGTAACTGCCGCACTAGAACCGCCTCAGTCTTTCTCCCCCTTCACCTCTCCTCCCACTCATTCATAAGAATATTATGGCACAGACATCTTTTTCTGAATTGTACCTCCATGTACTACCTACGCTTATCAAAGCGGCACACTAACTCAGTGGAGGGGCTTTTTTTGGCCATAAGTGCACATTCATCTGAATAGGAAAATAGCCGTAAAAAAGCTTATGAGCAAAATCTTGAAAGTTTGTAGGAGGCAGTATTCA